AAGCGAAAGGCGATTTGAAAGATATTCGTGTTTCACTAATGAGCACAAAAAAGTTCAGAGATAAACAAAATAAACAGTTCAATGCAGAAATTATAGTCAGATATAAAATAATACCTTTACGCTTACTCGTAGACAAGAGTTACCATCAGTTTCCAATATACTACATCTTTATGATTATATGTCCAAAATTTAATAAATTTACAATCCAAATATTCACTTTAAAACTTAAATAACGATTCTCAACATACAGAACGACCTTTACACGTTCAGGCACTGGAGAACAGTTAAAAATTTTATTTAAATTTGATTTATTGCTCCTTTTCCAAACTGTTTTTACGAATTGTGTAAATATTAATTTAACTTTTATGACGAAAAAAGGAAAAAAATTCAAATCGATCTTTCTAGAAAACTGGTATAATAAATGACTAAAAGTTAAAGTCAAAAAAGTTATGCAATAAAATACACGTTGACCTACCCAAAAAACGGCGCCTATGAACGGTACTACAAATTCTCAATTAATATAATCGATTCAATTCAACAGTTTTAGTTTTTAAAAACTTTACTCAAGGCGACATCTTCAAACAGCTCTAGCTCCCTTAGGAAGCATTTTCGTACTGGGTGAATTGGGTTAAATCGTCTTAAAATTATCTGAGCAATCTCCGGTTTTCGATTGTCAGTAGGGTTTCTGGAAACCCTGTATATAACAGGGTGAATGTTTAGTGCCATTGTGGTACAAGATATCCAAAAAACTGATTTAGAAAAAATGTAAGCAATGATATTCTCCATACTTGGAAAATATCTGGAATTTTACAGGATAATTAATAACTACGTTGTATAGCAAACATACAATTTTTTAAACAGGAATATTTTCTCATAATTATATTCCTCTCATATTTCTTGTTCTTATAATATTGGGGTTCCCGCCTTAGAGGTTCCCAAACCTCTAAGTATCGACGATCACAATAAATTAATAACAGACTCAGTTAGAAACGCACAACTCAAATTTTGCAAGAAAAATGACACCAAAAGTGAAAAGATTAGCAAAGATACAAGGGCTCTCATGGAAATACGACGAAACCTAAGCGAGAACGAAAAGGGAAACAAAGAAGAATATAAAAAACTAAATGAAAGAATTTCAGCGGAAATTAGAAAAGATGTAAGAAGATATAATACTAATGTAATTACTCAAACAGTAGAAGAGAACAAAGGTTTAAAGATAATGAAAAGAAAACTTACGCAAACTAAAAAGGAAATATACAAGCTGAGAGATAAAGACGGAAAGGCAACACCAGATAAACAAAACATTCTGGAAATAACTAGAGAATTTTATAAATACCTCTATACCAGCCAAAGACCACAAGACAATTTCCCGACACGAGTAAAGACTCTCATAAATCAGGGATCGGAAATACTTTTACCCATTACTGTGTCAGAAGTAAGAGCAGCTTTAAAGGAAATGAGGAACCATCGATCGCCTGGTGATGATAGACTCGTTATCGAGGCAATAAATGCAGGTGGAGAAATTTTATTAAAATCAGTAAGCGAACTGTTTAATAAATGCTTACATGCGCGTACGATTCCAAAAGACTGGAACAATGCAGTAATAGTCTTGTTGCACAAAAAAGGCGATATTACTAAATTAGAAAATTATAGACCCATCAGCCTCTTGACACATATGTACAAACTCTTTATGAAAATCTTAACATAGAGGCTAACACCTAAACTTGATTTCTATCAGCCCAAAGAACAGGCAGGCTTCAGGGCAGGATATGGCACAAATGACCATTTGCATACCATAAAGATCTTAATAGAAAAGTGCATCGAGTACAACATACCACTGGTTCTTAAATTTGTCGATTACGAGAAGGCTTTTGATTCTGTAGAGTTTGAAACAATACTGGAAGCCCTAAATCAAAGCCGAATAGATTACAGGTACACGACACTAATCAAAAACATCTATCAGAACGCTACATCAAGTATGCGACTGCACGAAGACACAGAAAAATTCAGCTTAGGTCGAGGAGTTAGACAAGGAGACAATATTTCACCAAAATTGTTCACGGCAGCTCTAGAGTCAATATTTAAGGGTACTCAATGGCAAGATATGGGCATCAATATAGATGGAGAAAGATTAAATCACCTAAGGTTTGCAGATGATGTTGTATTAATCGCAGATAACTTACATGATACAGTTTCTATGATGCATTCGCTTAAAAGTCTGTCTGAAAGAGCAGGATTAAAGATAAACTTTGAGAAAACTAAAATTATAACAAATCTCGTAATGAGTGGAAATATAACTATTGACAATAATACCATACAACAAACAGACACAAATATCTGGGACACGAAATCAAAATAAGCAGAGACAATCAAACACATGAAATACAGAGGCGAATAGGTATAACATGGGCAGCATTTGGCAAATTAAGCCATATTCTAAAAAGTTCAATTCCCATGTGTCTCAAGTGAAAGGTTTATAACCAATGTGTTTTACCTGTACAAACTTATGGAGCAGAGACTTTAACACTCACGCAAAAATCTGCGAATAAACTTAGAGTTACACAACGAGCCATGGAACGTGCAATGCTGAACGTGAGCCTTCGAGACCACATAACAAACCAACAAATCAGGCGAAGATCAGGAGTTCAAGACGTCATCGAAAGAACCACGACGCTTAAGTGGAACTGGGCAGGGCACTTAGCCAGAACACAAGATGGACGGCGGACAAGACGTATTATGGAATGGAGGCCCAGAAATTATAAAAGAAGCCGAGGACGACCACCGACTAGATGGACCGATGACATTAAACGTGTAGCGGGAAACTGGCTACAAGCGGCCCAGTGTAGAGAACACTGGAAAGAACTGAGGGAGGCCTATGTCCAGCAGTGGACGCGATTGGCTGATTGATGATAATATTGGGATTTTTATTACTATACAGAATATTTAGAAGTTATGCCCATTTTTATTTCGAAACCCTTATGAAATCAACACCGTGTATATAAAGAAGTAATGCATAAACAAATATTTACTTTATTATATAATATGTTAAACAATATATTGTAATTTTTAAATTAAGTTTAATTAAAATCATTGACTAAAATTTGTATACAGGGTGAACTACAAAACGAAATTACGATTTTCTCAATTTTTTTTAAATGGATCATCCTGTATTTTATTTTGTAGAAATATTATATTTATGATACTCTTTCATTTTTATATAGCATTCTCTGTACCTAAACTCATTATTTTCTGAGATATTTTTAGTTTTTTTCTATATTTTTGTAATTTTTATAATTATAAATAAGTATTAAGTATTGAGTGATAATATAACAAAATGAATTACTATTTATAACTGGGAATAAGCCACAATTAAAGATAAAAATACGTTTATTGACGTTTCAATTTCCAATTCGGAAATCGTTCACAAAATACAAATAGTAAATTAAACAAATTTTGTTTTTTTGTTACATAGTGAAAAAATTCTTCTAATAATTTAATTTTATCTGACTCATTTATATTGACAATTCAAACATACATTATGCATTTTAAAGTAGACGACTTTAAAATGATATTGCCAATATTGTTGAGTTGCGCTCCTGGGACGACTTTACTTATAAGATAGTTCATTCGATTACATGAAATCAACTTTAATTTGAGAATATCCGTCAGAAAAAATCATAGCATGTAATTCGTCTTTAAAAAGACAAACACATGACATGATGACAGTAAAATTCTCCTGTTAGTGATTCCATAGTAAATTATGAGGGAAAAACCAGGAAAAAAACCTCATAATACTATCCCGACATTGTAAGTATTTGTTCGTGAATTTAGTTTACCTTCAACAAACATCAAAATTCTGATTTTATATGTTACGTTATTTAAAAAACATAAATGATGTATCCTCTATATGTTACTGACTTACTAATACTGGTATTTTCTTATTAATAACTTCCTCTTTTAATATTGGTAACCAGATCCTACTACATTCTGCCGAGGAATTTGCGACACAATTGGCCTCATTTAGCATAATTAGAGCCGCTTCTTTGATTTTTCTTTTTTTGCCATCCGTTTCTTTTAGGACTATATTTGAATTATTCCATTGAACTCTATGTTCATTATCCCATGCGTGAGATCTATCAAATTCTCTATTTTTAATATAAGATTGATGTTCACTTATTCTAACATTTAATGGCCTTGATGATTCACCTAAATAAAAAAAAACTGATCACATTCACAAGGTATTTTATAAATGCAATTCTTTGTCCTTTCTTGTTCATTGTTAGGTTTGGTTTTGGACAAAATAGATCTCAACGTGTTTGTTGTTTTGAATGTTGTTGAAATGTTGAATTTATTTCCTATCCTTTTAAGTTTTTCTGATAATCCTTTTATGTACAATGTCGGGATAGTATTATGAGGTTTTTTTCCTGGTTTTTCCCTCATAATTTACTATGGAATCACTAACAGGAGAATTTTACTGTCATCATGTCATGTGTTTGTCTTTTTAAAGACGAATTACATGCTATGATTTTTTCTGACGGATATTCTCAAGTTAAAGTTGATTTCATGTAATCGAATGAACTATCTTATAAGTAAAGTCGTCCCAGGAGCGCAACTCAACAATATTGGCAATATCATTTTAAAGTCGTCTACTTTAAAATGCATAATGTATGTCTGAATTGTCAATATAAATGAGTCAGATAAAATTAAATTATTAGAAGAATTTTTTCACTATGTAACAAAAAAACAAAATTTGTTTAATTTACTATTTGTATTTTGAGAACGATTTCCGAATTGGAAATTGAAACGTCAATAAACGTATTTTTATCTTAATTGTGGCTTATTCCCAGTTATAAATAGTAATTAATTTACAATGCCACAAGAAAATAGCTTCAGAACAATAATAACAAAATGATTTGTATTCAATAAGAAACTAACAAAAAATATAAACCATAAAAACCCTATGGCAATTCGGCAAGCGACAAATTCGATTTAATTTATAAATGAAATTTTATCATTATAAAATCTTATGTTTAACAGTATTAGCGATGCTGGTTGACGAATCCGTTCAAACCAGTAGAAAAATGGAACGAAAAGCTTTTGAGGAACGTGTTATTAGGGAAGGAATGGACCTTTGGAAAAAACAAAGAGAGTTTGAGCTCAGAAGAAAATTACAGGAACAAAGAGAAGTAAGTAAAATTTGAAATATATAATATATATATATATATATATATATATATATATATATATATATATATATATATATATATATATATATATATATATATATATATATATATATATATAAGCAAACTTTAAATATTGGGTATGCAGCAATAAAATGAAAGGTGTACTCTTTTAAATTTTTATTCCAAGCTTTCGGACATTGGTTATGTCCTTCATCAGGGAGCTACAAATGTGATGAATAATTTTTACAAATTTGTATAATTAATTAAAAATTCGATACTTACAAACTTAGTGAGGTTGTATCATAAATAATTTTATAAAAATTGTTGATAAAATTTATCACAGTCTGTTGAGCTAAAACCTATTCCTATATTTGAAATTAAAAAAAAAATTACTTAACATTCACACAAACTTAATTATTTATAAACAAATCTATGACATTGATATTGACATTGGCAACTGAAAATCTCACATCCCTAATATCAAGCAACTGCTAGTACAACAAATTATAGGCTTATTATTAGGTATATCGTGGAAATATAAATTATTTTATATTTGTTAATATCATTAGGAAGTGAAACTTCAACCTGTCAATGTTTTAAAACAAATCCTATTAAATTAATATAAATAAATAAGGTCGTAATTCTAAAAACGTTACAATTTATTGTGATTTTGTTTTGTATGACCCCTGTGTGTAAACAAAAATTATTAAATTTAAACACACTAACTTTGTAAAAAAATAAATTCCTCAAAAATGAACTTTTTAATTACTTAAATGTCAATTGATAAATTATTGTTTGTCTTATTGTTGCATTTATCTAGTAGTAACAAGTAGGAGAACATTTCATTTAGATGGCCAATATCTGTTCTATGATTCATTCTATGAACAGATATTGGCCATCTAAATGAAATGTTCTCCTACTTGTTACTACTAGATAAATGCAACAATAAGACAAACAATAATTTATCAATTGACATTTAAGTAATTAAAAAGTTCATTTTTGAGGAATTTATTTTTTTACAAAGTTAGTCTGTTTAAATTTAATAATTTTGTTTACACACTGATACTGGGGTCATACAAAACAAAATCACAATAAATTGTAACGTTTTTAGAATTACGACCTTATTTATTTATGTTAATTTAATAGGATTTGTTTTAAAACATTGACAGGTTGAAGTTTCACTTCCTAATGATATTAACAAATATAAAATAAACTTTGAGGGTATACAAGGCAACTATCGAACACGGTGATTAATTTAATCTTGCCCAAGTACTTTCGATCAATAGATCATCTTCAGGGGCATTTCGTCAATTGTGGCCTATCCGACATAGTGGAATGTCATAAATGTAAAATCTGGACATAACAATACAAAATTTTACAAGATTTTACATTTATGACATTCTACTATGTCGGATAGGCCACAATTGACGAAATGCCCCTGAAGATGATCTATTGATCGAAAGTACTTGGGCAAGATTAAATTAATCACCGTGTTCGATAGTTGCCTTGTATACCCTCAAAGTTTAATTATTCGAACATTCAACCTTATATTGAAATATAAAATAATTTATATTTCCACGATATACCTAATAATAAGCCTATAATTTGTTGTACTAGCAGTTGCTTGATATTAGCGATGTGAGATTTTCACTTGCCAATGTCAATATCAATGTCATAGATTTGTTTATAAATAACTGTTTGTGTGAATGTTAAGTAATTTTTTTTTAAATTTCAAATATAGGAATAGGTTTTAGCTCAACAGACTGTGATAAATTTTATCAACAATTTTTATAACATCATTTATGAGACAACCTCATTAAGTTTGTAAGTATCGAATTTTTAATGAATTATACAAATTTGTAAAAATTATTCATCACATTTGTAGCTCCCTGATGAAGGACATAACCAATGTCCGAAAGCTTGGAATAAAAATTTAAAAGAGTACACTTTTCATTTTTATTGCTGCATACCCAATATTTAAAGTTTACTTCCTTACGTTGTCAGCAAATACTTCTGGATATATATATATATATATATATATATATATTATATATAATATATATATATATATATATATATATATATATATATATATATATATATATAATTTATAAATACTAAGGTGTATTTGGATAAATTCTATGGACTTTTAGTATATATACATCTACAGAAATGTTGGTCAAAGTTAAATTTTTTAATCTGAATGTCATCTTTGCTTATGTTATATGTCATCAAGTTAAAAAAAGATTTAAAAAAAAAATTCAAAAAACGGGACAAAAAAACAGGAACACGCGTAATTTTTCTATTTTATCCCATAACTTTTTTTACGGCATTCTAGGTATAGATATTGTTTTACAGAAAAAAACATATATCCTTCTTCAAAATGACGCATCGTAAGAGTTTTTAGGATTCACAGTATTCGAGATATGATTTTTTAAATTTGTCACACACCATTTTTGGGCTATTTTTTCTATTTGTTCGCAAACATTGATCTATAACTTTTTCCTACCTAGTTTTCGGTAAGAAATTAAAATCAACTTTTCGGCAGAAAACCATTTCCTTTGTCAAGATTAAAAACGTAAAACGGGGCACTGACATTAATGAAATGATGTCATAAACACAGGACATAAAATAAACTTGAATGAAACGCTTTATCCCTAATTACACGTTTGTTCCTATTCTCGATGTTGGCTTGCATCGCCGTTCCATTCAAGTTTATTTTATGTCCTGTGTTTATAACATGTGCTAGGACTGACGTATTCTCTTTTCTTTCGATCGCATGTTCGATGTTCTTCTTGTATTCTTCGATTCGTGAACTTCATCATATTGAAAAAGCGCTCACCTGTAATGATTATACCAGAAGAGAAATACATAAAGCAATTAATAACGTTTCTAGAAGAAAGGACGAAGAAACAGCATATATGAGCAAAGCGTTCTTGCCGTATATATCGAGGGTAACAGACAGAATTGGGGGAATTCTTAAAAAAGCCAATGTAAAGACCATTTTCAAGGCAACAAAGAAAATCAAGGACTGTTTAAGATCGGTGAAGGACAAACGAGACCCGGTAGCAACGGCTGGAGTATACCGAATACCATGCACATGTAAAATGGTATATGTGGGAACAACAATAAGATAGACAAACATAAGGATACACGAACATAAAAGCCATTGTCTTTTAGGACATATCGACAAATCTGCCGTTGCTAAACACGCTTTGGGAAGCGGAGAACATCGGACACCGTTTAAAACAACGCAGATGCTGGATAAAACATCACAGTACTACCCACGGTTATATCGGGAAGCGGTGGAAATATATAAGCATCCAGATATCTTTAATCGGATAGAAGAAGGACTAAGAATTAACACAACATGGATAGCGATACTAAAATCCACGAACACCATTCCTGCAAATCACGAAAAAAGAAAAGCTACAAACGACGACACGCTCTTCACGCCGAAACCAGTGGAGGGGAGCCGAGTAGAAAATATAAATATGACCTTCGTAGCGTGGCGTCAGTTTTAGCTTACAAGCGAAGCAGTAACATCTCCAGAAGATTCCAATACCTAGTGTTGGCGAAACGTCGAGAACTAATCTCAGAAGACCAATGCCCGAACAAACAGTTTAACAAATTATTCCTGTTGCTGTTTGGCGACAGTATAATTTTTCAATGAATCTGAGGTCGCAACTATTAATTCCTTTATCTTTTAATATTTAAATTAACTTAGTATGACGTACCATAATAAATGACTTTTTATAATCAATAAAAACGGCATCGACATCGTTGATCTCAAAATTTCTGTAGAAAAACATTGCAGTTTAAAAAGTGCTTCTGTAGTTTCCAGTCAATCTCTATATACATTTTTAGCCTCTATTTATTTAAGAGGCTAGGATGACCATATACCCATCTGCTTCATGCTTCATTCTGCTTCATTTTCCATCTAAAATCCCATAAGAAAATGCTAAGTTTCATTCTGCTCATTTTTTGAGCATTTTGTGGTGGGGGTAGAATAGTTCGTCTGATTGTGACGTATGATACATCATTGTAAACTAGAGGAGGTATCGAATATGTTGAGACAAAAGAAATACACATTGTAGTATTGCCAAAAAGGCATTACGTCCGATTGTAGCTTGTGATGCATTAAATAAAAGGGAAGTTATAATTAATATAGAAAAAACGAACAAGGCGACTACCAAAAGGGCATTACACAGTGTCTTCATTATAAATGTATGTATAGTTACATACGAGATGTTAAAGAAGGCCTCTGGCTAAGTAAAAAATAAACAACTGAATGAATCGTAACATGCTACATAGCAAATGAAAAGGGAGGAAATACTGAACAATTCAGAATAAAGTAAGAAAAAACAAACAAGGCGACTACCAAAACACCACTACATAGAATCTTACAAAGGAAAGTATAAAGAAAATCTATTAAGACAGAAAAAACAAACAAGGCGGCTACGAAAAGGGCACTACGAGAAGGGCATCTTCATTATTAATGAACTTATAGCGTAATACGCAATATAGGGCACTATGAATAAAAATAGATTTACCATAAGACAAATATTGATTTATTGACTTCAAGAAGGCTTCAGGCTAATCGAATCCTTACAAGCGACCTAGCAAATGAAAGGGGAGGATATAAAGAATATATTCAGATAGAAAAAACAAACAAAAAGACTACCAAAAGGGCACTATACAATGTATCACATGACACTGTGGATGATAATAGACATTTGCTTTATATATAAAGGTAAATTTTCTTTATTGTCCTGAAGGCCTGTGAGTACAAAAATGCTCACATTCACTATTTGTAAAGCCGTTTAGGATGGATGTTAAGCTATAGGTTCCATATGGAATGAATGAATTGGGTATGGCACCAAAGATAGAAATTGATTTAAAATTGTTTTTAAATCTATATGATGGCGTTCTGTTTTTATATTCCGTACATTTTAAACCAAGAAGTTAACCTAAATATCTTTAATTTTATTTTTTAGATACGACAAATGATGGATACATACTGGCCTTGGGGGAAGGGTACTGATGCTAGACCTAGAGGATTACGAAATCTTAGACTTGAAGAGCTCTTTCCCAATAAAGATTATTTAAATGTAAGTTTCACGATGCTCCAATTATTTTTTTCACATTTTTCAAATTAACACATTTTTTCTATTTTTGAATATTATTATTCATGCCGGTGTAGGATTTTTTTAAATTCTAGTTTAATAAAACTTGTAGTTCCTAAAGGAATTGTGGTATTGGGTGATTTTTATTTTAGTAGGACCTGTCGCAATCATCCTATCTTACTTAATATTGGTATTTATTGATATCATCCATACATTTTTTTATTAGTATTATCCTACTTTTATAACTTCACATAATTTATTTAAAAATTCACGTTTCCAACAAATGTAGTTTTTTTTTTAATTTATTTCCTTCAGTTGCATTAATAATGCTTGATTGCATTGATAATGATTTTAAGATAATAAGTATATTATTTGAAAATATACCTATTTGCTCTAGTATAAATAGAATTGTCAACAAATGAAGAAACCTCAAACATTTGTATGGGAATCAGGTCATTTGAAGCATTTTAATAAAAGTGATTATGCATTTAAATGCGTTATAGAGCTATCAGAATATGTCCATGAGTTAGAAACTCCTGCAGATTGTGTCTTGTTTGTGTTTCTAAAACACCCATAATTGTTGAACAAACAAACATAGAAGCTCTGCAGGATAACATAAACAAACCTGAAAACGAAATGGAGCAATTCATATGACAATATTTATGTCATTGGTGAAGAAATTACCATCATCGAGACTTTATTGGAATGCAACTGTAGATCAACCTCAAGTATTTGAATCTAAAATAGTAACTCGGTTCCTGTTGATAATCTAAGCCATGATAAACTGTCCAAAATTCGACTTCTATTAGGTTCCCTAATAGAAGTCCGGTTCCCAAGTACTGGTTCCCAAGAAGAACATCTAGCTGTTGACGAACAAATTATCTCTACGAAATGCCGGCACCATGTCAAACAATATAATCCGGCAAAACCTCACAAGTGGGGATACAAAAATCTAGTACTTAGTAGTGTATCAGGTTTTAGTTGTTTTAGTTGTGATTTTTATATTTTTGCTGACGAACAAAGCAATACTTTTCCAAATGGAGTGCCTGATTTAGGAGTCAGTGGAAATGTTGTCACTAGACTGATAGAGACAGTGCCGGAGAAAGTTAATCATAAAATTCGTTTTGATAACTGGTTTAATAGTCCAAAATTATAGATTTATTTCACACAAAATTGATTCTTGCCTTTAGATGTGGTTCGATTAAACCGTGTTACAAATTCAGGAATAGCAATTCAGGAAACCATTTAAGCAGTTTTAAAAAATGTTCAAATTTATATATTATCAAATGATTAATAATTTTTTAATGTTTAAGAATAAACGATACGTGGGTAGCATTGGATTTACAAATAAGGCCGGCGGAGGGGGAGCACCAATATTTAGTGATGGAAAAAAAATTACACGAACTTGTGAAGATCCAATGCTTCGATTCCAATTTGGCAGTAAAGATTTAAGAAAATGTGTTGATAATACACTTAGGTATAAAACGAATAAGCAACAACAAGAGGAGTATAAAAAGGAATTGGGTAAGTTACGACTTAAAATTAGCAACTATATTTTTAGCAACACAAAAATTACATTTTTGTAGTTTTGAGAAAATAGGGTTAGAAGTTCCACATCTTTTCTAAATTAATTCAACTATTCAACCACTTGTTATTTTTGATAATTAATGATAGTTTAGTCATTTTAACTTTAAGAGTTTCATGTAATAGTACAGTTATGACAAAGTTTTTTACGATTAGCTCGTATAGACAGCAGACTCAGTAAAAGTCAGGTTTAATTTAAATAAAAATATATTTGAAATAAGCGAATATTAATTTCAAACATGTATTATCATGGTCTATCAAAGTACTTAGCTAACAAACGTCTGTCTCAAAAAACTCGTATAAAGCTGTATAAAACACTGATAGTCACTGTTCTCACAATATGGATCAGAGGCATGGACGCAAACTAAGATGAATCCGCTCTATCGATTTTTGAAAGAAAGGTGCTACGCAAGTAATTCGGAGCGGTCTGTGAGAACGAAATATGGAGGCGTAGATATAACTTTAAACTGCAGAATATCTACAAGCATACGTTTGGTGGTAAAGATATTACCACTATAATTAAGCGAAACCGCCTGCAGTGGACAGGACATGTAGCCCGAGCCCCTACATCAAACATGATAAAAAAGATTCTAACAGCGCAACCCATATGAATGGAAAGACCAGGTAGACCAAAGCTGAGGTGAATGGACGGGGCAACACAAGATGCCCAGAAGATCTGAGTCGGCAACTGGAAAATGCAAGCAAAGAACAGAACAGACTGGCGTAGAAAGCTTGAGAAAGTCAAGGCCCTCTAAGGGCTGTAGCACCAAGATGATGATGATATTTGAAATAAATAAATAACAAAATAAAATTATATCCAAGATTATATGTACGAAATTTAATTGTCATTTCTGGCGACGAAGATATCGAGGTACGGTTTGTAGCATTTTCATTTCATCCCGTAAACACCGAAAACAATTCTTATTTTTTTCCGTCTTTGAGATTGATAATACAAACATTTTTATTCTATTTTTAATAACACAAATTGCTTTTTCCTTTAATCTTTGTTTGGCCTAGATATTTGCGCATCAAATAAACAGGAATCTGTCCCCTTATTATGTCTATTCTGATTTGCGAATATGATACCACTCCTCGATGAACCAACCGCGATAGCAGTCGGTTTCATTTTTAAAGTCATGAAGAACTTTGTATCATCGGAAATTCGATAAGGTAGTAGTCAGAGAACTTATTGGGGTCTGAACGAGAAAAGATCATTTTCGAAAATAGTTTTAAAATCCGGCAAATTTTGACTTAATTCGAATGAGTTTTGGTTAAAAGGAAGGTGATTAGGCTCAAATGCTATGTGGAAGTCTTTGTAAAGTGAGATAATCAGCGGTTTATTGCCGTATTCCGTGTTACGGGATTTGAAAGCAGCGTTTCGAAGGGTTAAGTGCCCCACATACTTTTAAGTGAAAATTAAGTTAATTGTTATCAGCCGGAGACAGAATGATTCTGTCTTCATTCTGTCTCCGGCTGCTATACAACATGTAGCTTCTCCTTAAAAATTTTAAAGTGTTTGTTTGTCTTAGTGTATTGTATTTTGTATTTTTATGTCCAAATTTTACATCTATGACATTCTACTATGTCGGATAGGCCACAACTGACGAAATGCCCCTGAAGATAATCTATTGATCGAAAGTACTTGGGCAAGATTAAATTAATCACCGTGTTCGATAGTTGCCTTGTATACCCTCAAAGTTTAATTATTCGAACATTCAACCTTATATTGATATATTTATCTATTACAATTAAATAGGTAAAATTAGGAAGTTAAAATTAACGTGAGATAACAAATAAGGGATTTTAATTTGATTGTTCAATAGATAATACTACTTTAATAAAGTATCTTGATATTTACTGAAACACAAATGTGAAATGAATCTGAAAGATTGCTAATCGTGATAAAAACTGTGGACTGTCTTTCCTATTGAAGTCACTTAAAACTGTTGCCGATATAATATATATTCTCTTTCCATCTTATTTTAAATTATAACGTTCATTTACTTGTTGAATTATAAATGGTTAGTTATAATTCCGACGCTGACAATCATTTTGTAAAATAGATGCACTTTAGTAAATAATATATGTTTTACAAATTCGAAATTTGTAGATAAGCTAGTTGAAGAAAAGAAGCAGAAGGAAAAACAAGAAAAGAAAGAATCGGTGCATTTTCACCAGGAACAAGTAAGTTACTACATTATGGAAATACATTTTGTATGTATAAACTTTTTTGAAGTTTTTGAAAGCTTCTCCTTGGGGAAGACCTGGACCTGGTGGAAAGCTTTGGAGAAAACCTAACGCAATAGGTCATCAGTTTTTACATTCAATGGTATGCTACACTCTTCGTGTAGCCTCCATAAATAATTTTTTTGGTTTAAATATAATTTATGTTTTTGTTGATAGTATAGTATAGTATGTAGTATTTTACAATATGTTTAGTTGTTATTGTTGTGTTTTCCCCGTTATCAATCTTTTTTCAAGCAGTGCCTATCTGTTCTGGATATCGGCTATCAGTAGATTTATTTTTATTTTGCTGTGTGTTGTATAAAAAATTTTTATGTAGTTGGTAATTTTTTTCAGCTATACCTACGGTTTATCATCTATCTATATTGCAGGTCACACCGTTTGTACCATATTTACCCTATTTCAATCATATTTTCTTCTTGAAACGATAAGTTTAATTAATAATACTATATTAATTACATAATAATATAATTAATATTTGATTTTAATAATATTTTTTTAAGGCAGAATTTATTACAAAATAATTTAAAACTTTATGTTAGTTTATATATAAAATCCTAATGCCATCTGAACAAAGAAATCTGACTTAATTAATTTTGTCGAAAATTGCTAAATATGTAGGTTACTGTAATTGTAATATAAGATTAATAACGTATAATGTATATTTATCATTATGTTATTGGGTAAGATAAACATGCACTTTGGCGAATGGATTTAGTGTCCGCAGTCATTTAAACACAAACAAACAACAATAAAACATGCACTTACTATAAAAATAAAATGACGTTTAACAAACGTCAACGCTTTACCAAAATAAAATAAAATAAAAACTAAATAAGATTAAATAAAATGATATAAAGGTAAGTAGAACTAAATATAATAATCAAGTCAAACAGAATTATGTAGAATTAAATAATTTTTCATCGTTTTGTGGTGGGGGTAGAATACTTTGTCGGATCGTGACGTATAATACATCATTGGAAAGCAGAGGTGGTAGCAAACATGTTGAGACAGAAAAACACGTTGCGACATTACTAAGAGGGCATTACATCATATCTCCTTTGTGTTTGGTCCGATCGGACCGTGTGATACGTTAAATGAAAGGAAAGGATATCACGAATAGATTCTTCTACTTCTTCCTCTTTATAAGCAATTTTAATTGTTTATTGGCGGATTAATACCTCTATGGAAGGTTTTTGCGAGGTCGTCCGATACTTCTGCTGATTGGTGACCCATCTCTTGCTATTTTTAGGTCTCCTTCATTCTGCTAATGTGTTTTTTTCGTCTAATATCTTCATTTTCGTCTAATGTTTTCATTTCTTTACTCCGTCCTGTACGTCCACATCTCGAAAGCCTCAATTCTCTTACATATTGTTTCATCTTTACACATTAAATGTTGTTCTGGTTTGCTTCACTCTGCTTTTAATTTCCTGGGATAAGTCCCACTTTTGATTCACTTACCAGCCCAAATATTTGTATGATTGTACTCACTCCACTATTTCTCTATCTATTCTGATATAATCTCAATTGATAGCTATATTTTTGTTTCTCTCTGTTACTTTCTTGTTACTGTTAGTAAACCAAATAAACCACAAAATATGACCACCTCATATAGAACTGTCAACTAACGTTCAATAATGTTAAAAATCTTAGTAAGGCTTCTGCTCCAAAGAATCACAGAATCTTAGAACAAGCCTTCGACGGTATTTGGCCTTCTATATAAACTCTCTGTAAAAGTCATCCTTTTCTACATCTTAACATCAAGTATTAAAATTATACCTTACAGAACGTCATTTTTAAGCGAGATTCCTTACAGAAACCTCTCATAAGTATCCCATAAAATTCGGTGTCTTCCAAGGAAGTGTCCTTGGTCCCCTTGTGTAGATTATATAGACGGCTGATATCCCAACAACAAATACTACGACAGTAGCCATGTTCGCAGGTAACACCGTCATAATACCTATCGATGATGACGGTCAAGTAGACTACTACTACAGAAGAATCTACTACAAAACTGGTTAAATAGATGGAAAATCAAAGTTAACTACACCAAGTCTAATCAAATTACATTCGCGAACAGAAACATCATATGCCTGAGACTCACACTAAACGACATATCACTACCAGTAAAAATAGAAGTCAAATACCTGGGAATGACACTTGACCAAAAGCTCACTTGGAAAGTACACAATATTGACGAAAAAACCTATATTAACATGAAAATACGTCAAAGGAATTGATTAATAGGTCGAAAAGGGCAGCTATATACAGATAATAAACTTCTTGTGTATAATAAAGCCCAAATTATCATATGGACCTACCGGTTTTCGTACTCACATATCTAATGATATCTCCGGATCATGAACTAGCCTTCTTAAAGTAGTTCTTGGTATAGCAAATGTTTTGACTGCTTTCTTAAAACCCATATGCTTATTACAAACAGCCTCTACTGCCTTTTTCATGTCGTTTGCACTCCACAATATCTTCTTTTTTTTTACTCAGATTTAGGAGAAAGATCAGGCATCTGAAAATAATAAAGTGCAAACATGTAATATGGCCCCCTCAATGTGTATGTAATATGGACCCGGGTCCGTAATGCATACACACTCAGGGGCCATATTAAAGCAATAGTTACAGTATAAACAAAATATCAAAAACAATTTAAATCTATTGCAAATTGTTCATACCTTTAAAAGTAGATATTCAATGGTTTTTCTACACACTAATCAGAGAAAGATATTGTATATAATTGGTTTCTTCGAAAAAATAACATGAACATAAGAACGGCAAAAGTTTTGCCGAGCAAGTGAATGAAGCGAGCTTTGTAAGTCGACTAAAGGCTAAACGCGGTAGTTCTCTGGTCCTGGCAAGTTTCGATAGATAAAGATAGATGTATAGTCCGTCTAGAAAGTATCCGGAATTTTCTATTTTTCCCAATTTTAATAGATTTCCTTTTTGTAACATTTTAAGACAAAAGTAATGCATCAAGTAGGTTGTACCAATAGTAGGTTATGGACAAAATCGCATGAAAACACCATCTATCAAATATTGTTGTTTGTAAACAGACTTAAGATTTGTGAAATAATGTCGTAAGTAGAAAAAGAAACGTGGTGGAATATTTGTATAGAAAGGGTGTCCAAAACGTTAAAAAATTAGTGCAATTGATTGAACTAGGAAAAAGTGCAGACAATAAAGACAATAAAAAATGGCATAGAGGTCTAGGGTTTCGAAAATTAGCGAACAGATTTGGAAATATCAAAAAGCAAGGCTACATATCAAGGAATCCAAAAAAAATCCATTCAATGACACCTCTGCAAAAGCAACGAAGAACAGATTTTTGTCAACGTTTTCGAGAAGATAATTTTAATAACATGTTTATATCTGATGAAAGTTTTTTTCAGCTTGGTGCAAATCATCTAAAAGTCCTATCAAGAGAAAATGTTATCGTTCAAATTTCCAAATTTGCCACTAAACTAATGGTTTGAGGAGCAATATCTCAGTGTGCTGCTACACCTCTCTTTAAAGTTAGTGGTACTGTTGATAGTGCGAAATATTGTGACATCCTAAATGGTTTACTTCTTGAAACGTCTCATGTTTTATATCCAGATGGGTGACATTTTCAGCAAGGTAATGCAAGATGCTATACTTCTGCTTATACTCAAGCTTGGATGCAAGAACACGAAGTGGCAAAAATTCCGTGGCCAGTATCAACTCCAGATCTTAGCCCCATTGAAAACACATGGGGACTGATGAAGATTAAAGTGGAACGAACAGAGCCACGAGATAAAGAAAGTTTGATTCGGTCAGCTTTACAGGCATGGAACACCATGACCGAAAATTATAGCTTTGACCTAGTTTCGGGTGTACCTGGACGTTTAGTTAAGTGTTTAGATTTACATGGAGGTTGTATAAGTAAATGAGATGAATTATTTGTTGAAATTTTATATTTCAAGTGATAGAAAAAAATACCGTAAAATTAAAATTCTGCTTTCTTTTTTCCGGATACTTTCTAGACGGACTATAGTAAGTATCAAGCGTAAATCAACAATGGCATTGGCGGAAGTGAAAAATTCACTCGGGGCCGATTTCCAGCAGGGGCCATATTCCCATCTTCCCCTCTACCTGCTTCTGTTTCCAGATTTTAGTTTTTCTTCCATTTCTACTTTTTTCATCCATCTTATGGTTTTTTTTAAACTTTGTTTCATCATCAGGTTAAACCTATAAAAAATGAAGCTTAATTTTGTGTTATGTTCAAAGAGCTATAATAATCTCTAGTAAAATTATCTTTATACTTGCACTTGCAACTACTAACAAATTTGCGAAAATTGTACAAACATATCTATTTTCTGTCTTGTGGTTAAAGTTCGGTTTAATCGAAAAGCAAAAATGGTCTTATTTATTGACAACCAGATTTGCATTTTGTAATGTATTATTTTTTTTAATATCAATTTGATTGTGTGTTATACAGGGTGGTGAATCGTCGAACGGGCCATAGGAAACTCAATGAGAAATTCTAAATTGTTGAATTCCTGCTTCCCTAATTATTTTACACCAAAAGTCATGGGAAACTATTTGTAGAGGACTTAAATATGTATCGAAAACAATTGTTAAAAATTGTTCTACGACTTAAACGTATTCCAAAATTTTGCTAAAATATAATACATTTTTCAGGCCACCCCTAAAAGTCAGGCCAGACCATCGAGCAAAAAGACAATAGAGGGAATGTAAAGGTAGGGGGGGCAAACATATTGTTAGACAGGAAGTGCGATCTTTAGAGGCCACTTTAAACAAGGATAGAGAGTCTCTCTCCTTGTTTGACATCAAATTTAGTTGGGTTATGTTATTGTTTGTCCCAAATGTCACATGAAATCTTATTTATATTGAAGTTTTTTAACAATTGTGTCGCATTTTAGACTCTTATCATTAATAATCAATTAAAACTTTCTCGTCTAAGACACATTCTGAAAAATATTATATAGCTACTGTTGATAAGTGTCGCAAAATTTAAATTTCGCGCATTCGCATTTCCGGATATGTCCGCCATCAGAGGCCACTTTTTTGGTCTCCTTTTCATAAGGATTAGATTCCCTCTTTTGTCTTATTGCTCGATGGGCCAGACGCCGTGAAAAGAATGTGTATTACGTGTTGCGTTTTGTCATATTGACGTTTCTAATATTTGACAATATTTAAATCAACTATATTATATTTATCCATGATTTAAATGGCCAAAATTTTGTGATTTATTATTTAAAAGAAAAAATAAGTTGATTAAAAGATTTACTCAGTTAAGGAGAAAAGAGCATAATAAAAATGTTTTATTCATGTTTTATTATAACATTTCTTATAGTTTTATGTTTAGAAATTATCATATATTATTATTAGAAATAAAGATCACAGTAACAGTATATTGGAATTCATTGAATTGTTGTATAACTTAACATGGAATTAAATTTTAGTGTATTAGAATATCTTACGTTACATAAAGATCCGGTAGTGATAGGAAAAGGTTCGCGCTATTGCCTGAATACAACATTATGCGACTTTTCGTCAACTGAGTACATTTCATTATATTGGTCGATTTGTAAACAATATAATTTATTGTTCACAAAGTAATATTGTTCAGTAGTAATATTTAGTAAAATTCATTGTTTATAATTTAAACATAAAATAAAAAAAATTGACAATTGAAATTGTCAAACATCTGACATTAATATGATAAAAGACACACGTTATAATATATTCTTGTATTACGTGTGGCCTAACTTTTAGGGGTGGTCTGAAAAATCTATTATATTTTTGCAAAATTTTGAAGTACATTTGATTCGTAGAACGGTTTTAACATTTGTTTTTAATTCAGAATTTAGTCCTCTACAAATAGTTTTTTATGACTTTTGATCTAAAATAATTAGGGAAGCAGCAATTCAACAATTTAAAATTTCGCATTGAGTTTCCTATGGTCCGTTTGACGATTCACCACCCGGTATGATTTTAAATTTAATTTACTTTACAACTTCCATAAAATCCAGTATGAGGCCTCTTTTTATTTCTTTTGCTTGAAAAATTGGGTAAAAACATTTGAAGTTATTTTTTGCTTCGTTATTCTATTTATCAAATATTTTATTTAGTCTGACATATTTGACGTTAGTATATTGCTCTTGTGCTTTTTGCTTTATTTCTTACCTGTATTAATTTTTTTAAAACGAAACGAAATATTTTTATTAGATTATTTGGATCAGATTTAGGTACAATCTTTTTTAGGGTTGGTCAGATGAAAAAACTTTAAAACATCTAGAGAATGAAGCAATAAAATCTAACACACACGACAATAAAAAATTTAATGGCAGTAATAAACACATTTCACCGCATATTACGCACAGTAAACCGTCCACGAGGTTAGATCCTATAGCCTATCCCAAAAGAAATTTTATTCCAGTAGGGCGAAACCGTAAACTCTCTCCCTTATCGGAAAATAAGGACGAAGGTGTAGAGTTGGTTGCTTTGCTAGCAAAAGACAGAAAATACCCTCTAAAGATTCCATTATGTAGTTCTGACATTACATCAGAAAAGAAAATGGGAAGTAACTTGTAAGTATAATTTTTTATTGATTAAATTATCGTGTGTAAGGAATTTCTTGAATCTAAGAATAACACATTATTCTTATTGTCTACTTACTTCTTATTTATCCGTGACTTTACACAGCATATTGTTTGTCATTTACATTTTTCATTTTTCAGTCAGCAAATTATTCGCCTTCCTAGTCCACGTTTTCTTTCTACTTTTCCTTAAAAAATTAATTGCAGCAATCCATATCTTTCGCTGTTCCTCATAATGTGACCGATGTATTTAATTTTAGGTGTTTTTATTGTGGTTAACAATTTTTCTCCTTTTTGCATTCTTAATAAAACATCCTGGATAGTAACGTGGTCAGCATAGGATATCTTTAGGATTCTAGGATTAGGACAGGTAGGATCACGACTTAACTCGGTACCACGGTACAGGAAAGGTATCTCTCTCTTCAATCCTGACCCCCCAGGGGAGTGTAGTGGTCGACGTGATGTCGTGTATTGTCCGTCTCCAGAGATCTCTGTCTCTGGTCATTTCTTTTAATTCATGAATAGGTCTTTGGCATACTCCTGTAATTTGATCTATCCATCTTGTTGGGGATCTTCCTTCTTGATCTTCGGCCTTCTACCTTTCCTTGTATTATGAGTCTTTCCATGTTTTCTGTGTTTGCTCTCATAACATGCCCAAAATATTTTAATTGTTGGAGATGGACTTTACTAGAGCGTCGTTGGCTTACCTTTAGCTCTCTTAAAATTGAATTATTTGTTCTGCGGTCGGTCCAAGGAATTCGTAACATTCGTCTCCAATAGAACATTTTGGTGGCGTCTATCTTTCTTCTCTCCGATTGTCTCAGAGTCCAAGATTCACATCCGTAGGTCAGTATTGGGAATATTAAGCAGTTGATCAACCTCATCTTTATCGCTCTTGAAATTTGACAGTCCTTCCATATTTTGGTCATTTTTGCTGTGGCAACTTTTGCCAGATCAGATCTACGTTTAATCTCTTCTTGTAATGACCCTGTGTTTGTGAATAATGATCCCAGATGTAAGTATGAGCTCACAACCTCGAACCGGTCAATTGTGGTTATGTGTGGATGATTGTTGTGTAGTCTATCCACTATCATGATCTTTGTCGTTGATATGTTTAACCATTTTTTGAGATGCCCTTAATAACCAATAAATAGGACCAATAAATGGTCAAACCTTTGTTTGACCATTTATTGAGATGCCCTTTTCCCATCCTTCAAGTGCTCTTCGCATAATATACTCCCCATATATGTTGAATAATTGCGGAGATAGTATACATCCTTGTCTGACACCCCGTTCTGGATGAAATTAACTGATCCAGTAGTGTGTTCATATAGTTCGGTTATAAGCGTAATTAGATGTTGTGGTACGCCTATGTTGTGGTACAGGAAAGGTATAACATCGTAGTAACCTGATTTTTATGAGTACCGATAAATCGTGGCATTTAAATAGCTCAGCCATTTTTTAAAACGTAGATCTTGTTATCCTAGATTTTGTTTCTAGGGAATGGTCCCAATTTTCATTGGGACATATGGGTTGAACATTCACACTGATTCTTTCAATTTGTTGTTCCTTTTTAGAGATTACCATACATTTGTTCAGCGAAAGTCTATATCTCTGGCTCACTTCTGTGATTCTATTCCTTAACTCCTGAAGGGCCAGGAGTTAATGCACGTATCTAATGTTATTGATACATTCTCTGTTAATCCGACTTTCGGCTTCAACATCTTCTACTGCTTCTTGAAATATTTCCTTAGAGTATATGTTAAACAACAGGGATAATAGTATACATCTTTGTCGAATCCCACGTTTGATTTTAATATCATCGGATTCTTCTGCCTCTGTACGGATAGACGATGATTGATTCCAGTGAAGATTGCTAATAATTCTTAGATCACAGATGTTTATTCCAATATTTGTTAATATCTCCATCAGCTTGTCGTATTTTACTGTATCAAATGTTTTATGGTAATCATTGAAGCATGCATAGCTTTATGAGTTCAGCATATAAAGGGTGTTCTTTTAGAGGTATAGAACTTTGAATTGAAATAAAACAAAGAGACTTTTTTAAATTTACTTAATTCAAAAGATAATCTTTTGGTATTATAATTTAAATATGATTTCTGACATATGAACTATGCGGCTATCAAATGATTTTTGCAATAAATCAATTGTGGCACGAGCTGTGTAGCATGTTGCGCTGTCTTGCTCAAACCGCAGTTTCAGCACATCATAATTGTTCAAATGAGGAGTAAAAAAATTAGTAATGATGGCTCTACATCGGTCACCATTGACTGTTACGTTGTTACCAGCATTGTTTTTAAAGAAGTACGGACCAATGAATTCACCAGCCCACAAAGCACACTAAACAGTCAGTTTTTCTGGATGTATTGGTGCCTCAACATACACTTAACGATTATCTTTACTCCATATATGGCAGTTTTGGTTGTTGACAAAGCCATTCAATCAAAAGTGAGTTTCATTGCTAAACAAAATTCGCTTATGAAAATCAGGATCAACGGCAATCTTTTTTTGGGCCCATTCACAGAATCTAGATTCACAGAATCTGCAAGAGTTGGATTTTGTAAGCACGCAAACCAAGATCTGTCTGCAAAATCTTCCATAAAGTGGATGGACACATATCTAACTGTTGTGCACGATGACGGATATACTGATTCGTGTCTTCCTCTATGCTACGCAACAATACTACGTCTTTGTTGATGCGTATTATCGTTTAGAGTAATCGTGATGCGAAAACGTTCCATGGTTAATCGTATTAATTCCTCTTATGGACGATTATGTTGACCATAAAATGGACTTAATGTGCGATACGTATTTCGAACAGAACCAAGATTTTCAAAATAAATTTGCATATTTTGGAAGCGTTATTTAGGCTGCAATATATTCATGATAAAATGCCAAACCAAACTAAACAAAAATGACTTGACAGCTGTCAAAACGGCTGCCAGTTAAAAAAGTTTTGCCAACTTACATTTCTGTACCACTAAAAAAACACCCTTTACATTGTCAGGAGGAGGTGAGTTATTTTATTACATATGTAGGACGAAGGTTGTTCGGACCTATTATCATCAAAGAGTTCTTGTATTTATTTGTCCCATATGTATATTTCTACGATTTTGATATGTGATGAAGGTCTTCTGTTGATCTTGCAGTTTGCTAGCTGTGTTTGATTTTTGAAGACCAGAGGCTTGTTTTACCTTTTTATGCATATTAGATGTATCATGTTTTTGTTCCAACAACTATATCTCTTCACACTGTGTGTTAGACAATTTTTTTGCCTCTAGTATTTCGGTTCTTATTTTTCTCTGAATATTTTTGTATATTCTTTTGTTATTCTTTGATTTTCTTATTTCTTTCATGAGTTGCAGTATATTGTCATTCATCCAACATTTCCTTTTCTGTTTATTTTCTAATAGATGTTCTTCTTTGATCTTGTTAAAGGTTTCAAATATATTGTGGAGTGATTCTTCTGAATCATATGTTTGTTCTATGTTATTTAGCTTTTCTTAAATATTTCGTGCTACTCTCTTCTTTGTTTCCTTATCTTTTAATCTTCTCACATTACATTCTTTAACTACATTTTCATGAATAAACATGCTCCCACCGAGAATAAACCAGACACAGAAAAAGAAGAATTATATGAGAAATTAGGACAAATATATTTATAGACCATATCCATAACGACGACGGTACATTGATTATTGGGGACATAAACGATAAGGTAAGACAAGAAGAGATGTACAGATCAACCTAAGACCTTATAGCATACACGAATAGCTCGTCTCGTAGATATTGAGACGAGATTTATAAATTTCGCAGCATCTATGAACATGACGATCAGTAATACATACCTCCAACTTAAGCGTATACATAAAGTGACGTAGACATAACCAGATTAACATACCCAAAAGCAGGTAAACCACGTACTGATTGAGTCAAGACATGGATCAAACAAGACTGCAGAAGTTGTAAATGCACCAATATTGACTCAGATCACAATTCCATAGACAGGAGTCTCAGAGCAATTATATCAAATGATAGATGATGTAGATATCGTTAAAAACATCAAAATAAACTGCCTAAGATGTAGGGCCACGTTATGCGGATATATGAAACTAATTCTGCTAAAATGACCATACTAAGCAAGCCTGTCGGAAGAAGAAGAGACAACTTAAATTCAGATATCTGGACGATGTGCAGGACGATTTAAGGTAGATTGGAGTAAGGAAATGGAGAAGACACTCGATAGGAAAGGATGGAAAAATGTTTTGAGGCACACCAGAACTCACGAAGTGCTGTAGCGCCACGATTATGATGATTTGATTTCCAGTTCCAAGTCTTTAGTGGTACTCTTCATTCCCATTCATCCTTCACATATGTCAATGTTAGAGTAATTTTCGTTCTTTTATTTCGTCATTTAGTGTCTCTTTCACAATAATTAGTTCTTTAGTGTGTTAATTTTTCAGATAGTTCTTTAGTGTTAATCACCAGCTTCTTCCACATCATTTAAATTGCATTTATTCTGTTTTTTATTCCTTTCTTTGTCACCTAAATCTCTGAGCCATATAATCACCAGCTTTTTCCACTATTGTCTTAAATATTTGGTAATTAGTTTCGTTTTTAATATTGTCGCTTCATATAATCGAATGGAATTGTCGTCTTTCTTTTTTCCTTTTATTTATTACATATGTTTCATCTGATACATTATATTGACTTTTTATTGTTTGTTTTTTGTTTTATTGAATTTTTATTTACTCCTCATCAGACATTGTTAAATAATTACAATTATCTATACAATATATATAAACGCTAAAAAAACGAAGTACACGCTAATTACAAAAAACCACAAAATATACATCGCCTATTGACAATCAATGGTAACGTAATAGAACAAGTAGAAAAATATCAGTACTTCGGAACTTTGATCAATGCAACCAATGATCATACTGCAGAAATAAACAGGTGAATAGATA